CTATTGGCCTCATTTGTAAGTCGCTTTGGATAAAAGCGTCTGCTAAATGACTAAATGTAAATGTAAATGCTTAAAAGCAACTTCATTTCCAGGCATGGTTAAGAATAACCGGTAACAAAACGAAACACAAATATCACTTTTGAACTGAACCAACCATGAAGCAAATGGAGACGACAGGCTGTCAGGAGAAATACAGCAATCAAGAGTTAAACGGTCCTTAATGCAACTGAACAATAATGCATGTCAGCTCGCTCCGCTAGAGAACACTGGGTGACTGTGTGTCTCATGCCAGCCAGAGAAGACCATGAGTATCTTTGTGGCTGATGGCAGATAACATAAAACAGCAACAAACACAAGCAGAGAGACACGGGACAGCAGCATGCTGATAGGAGAGGGACTCGTCTGCACAAAGATCCTCTTTGTGTGACACTCATGAAGAGGGTTTTTACTTTCTCCTGAGCATAAAGAGCAGAGAAGGTTCTTGCTCTTTATGACTACAGCTCACAACAGACAGGACAATTTAGCAAGAGCTCTCTTTCCTCTTATGGACAGGACACTGTTTGTTTGGTTGATGCAATGCTGTTATCACAGGTATCACAGATCATGGCCGGGAGACAGATGCTTGTGGTCTGGGTCGCAGCGGTTCTGATGAGCTCCAGTGTGATCGCACAGCAGGTGAGTGTCTTTCACACTCAGTTATGCCAACACGTTCTGCATCAAAGTGATATTCATGTCTAAGTTACTGTCTAACAATTAGTCACAGTCAAATCATAGACTGGAGAATTACGAGCTGATGTAAAACACAGTGCGGTCTCCTGTCCCCATGGCTCGTCAAGCATTACACTCCGATGTCAAACAAACATTCACCATTTGTGTTCAGGTGGACATGAGCAACGCATCTCTGACAGAGATTCCTGAAGATACACCTACAAACATCACCGAATGGATCCTGAGCAACAACTCACTTGTGATGTCCGCCTCGGATATAAACCCCTTACAGAAATATCGCAGGATTACTGTGCTAGACCTTTCTTATAACCTCATACAGATGCTGCCTCCTCGAGCCTTTGACAAACTCACAAACCTAGATATTCTTAAACTGAGAGGAAATAGATTGCAAACCCTTGACATAAACATCTTTAAAGGACTGAGAAATCTGAAGAGTTTGGATCTGAAGGAGAACCCATGGAACTGCTCCTGCTCGCTCACAAGCCTCATCAAAGAGCTGAACGACTCCGGCATATTAATAGGTGAGAACAAGCCCTTTAGTTGGTTTTTATCTTCAGATATGATGTATATGCCTTTGCCTATTTAATGTTTGACTTATTAATCTGCCAAATCTCATGTTGGTCTTGCAGGGAAAGAAGTCACTTGTTACACCCCCCAGAAAACAGCTGTGCTTGATGGAAACCCTTCCTGCTCAATTCAAGCCTCAACCATCAAAACATCTGTGGAGAAATCTACAGCTACCACAATGAAAACCAGATCAACACCAGCCCCAGCACCCACCACAGAGCCAAACAACAGCAGCCACGTCAACGGCTCCAGCAAAGGTAAACACACAAGCAGTAACACGCCTGAACGTCTCTAAAACACTGTGACTTGCACTGAGCTCAAACAGTGCAGCACCCATAACACAATCAGACGAAGTTACAGCACTCTGCTGTGGATCCTCTTAGTGGACACAGGATAAATAACTGCGAACATTTTTCTCAAATACTGTTGAATACACAGCTGATGTCAGTGGACTCTACAGAGCATGTGTTTCTCCTCAGGGTTGATGGCGAGGGATGGTGAGACACACACAGGAAGCCACAGCTGGAAGTTCCTGCTCGGTGTCGTGGCTCTAACCCTCAGCACTTCCATGCTCATTGTATGCGCTGTCAAATCTCCCTCATGGTACAAGCTTCTGTTTAATTACCGGCACCAGAGGCTCCGTGAGGATGTGGAGCACAGCGTCTTCAATACCGGACGCTTTTCCAACTTCAGTCTGGACACAGAGCAGACGGACACGAGCGCTCAAGAGCTGGACACTGGACTGAGCTTGCAGCCCTTTGAGGATGATGATGGCTTTATAGAGGACGGCTACATTGATCTGGGAAACTACAGAGAACACGCGGATGCTGACGAGTCATGAGCAAGATCTGTGGCAGGAGAAGGACCGGGGCTGCAAACGGGTGGAAAAATGAAGCTACAAGCTCTTGCATTAAACTGTGAGGACCTGTTTATTCCAGTGCAGTAGTGCAATATGAAAAAGAATTAAAATATGAAACCCAAAGATCACTGAACTGGAAATGCATGAATCTCAGCATGTTAAAAAGTTGTGTGCAAATGCTGTCACTGCACTTTATCACAAAGTAATTCAAATTTTTACTTTTTCAAAGCTTGTCAGTGATGTATGCAATATTTTATCCCTAATATCCTAAAAATATCCAGGATGTGAATTGATTGCTTGTAGTTTTCCTGAAGAATATGTAGAATCATTTAAAAAGAAGCTCTGGCATGATAGAGCTGAAAAGAAGTCATACTCGTGAGGAGATCGAGAAACATTTCACAGGTCAGCTGCTGCCCTCTTGTGCACAAACTCTGCCAAACCTTTACTTGTGAAGAAACAAAAGCACTTACTCTCGTCTCTCGGTGAATATCACGTCCATACTCTGAGCTTCTCTGTCATTCTGTGCTTTCAGCTAAAGAGATGAACATAAAATACAATGAGTAGGAACATGAGAAGAGCAAAGAGGAACATGTTGCTGTTTAAATAATGTCATCTCACCATGATTATGTCATTCATCACTTCATCCATCTCAGTGTTTGTGTTCAGCTTGTCAACCAGCTGGTAATTAAAAGACACAGATATTATGCATCCCAAAATCCTATGGTTTTACTGATTCAAAATAAAGAGACTTGTAGTACTGTTTTAAATTAGTGTACCATGTTGTAATCTGCCAGTTGCCCTTGAAGATCTTTGATTTCTCCAGCTAGGACTTCTGCTCTGTTCACAGAACATTACATTAATTACTGCATCCTGATGTCATCAATGCTAAACCACTGAACAGTTAAGGGGTCTTTTTAGAGGATCAATATATAAAGAAAATCCATAAAATATAATAAAAATATATTGAATTTAAATGTAAAACGCATTTTAAAAGACTATATAGTTTGGGATACTGTGGTTTTAAAGACATTATGTAACATTTGTAATATTACAGAAGATTTATATTTCAAATAAACAACATTCTTCAAACTTTCTGTCCTGAAAAAGTAGGCTTTCTAACATTTTCAATGGTGATACTGATCATAATAAAAAATGTTGCTTGTAAAATATATTAAAACAGATAACAGTTATTTTAAATTGTAATAATAATGATAGTTTTTGATTATTTGCTATATAAAGATTATTTGGCATTATGCATGTATTGTAATGTTTTGTTGATTTTTGATTCTGGTGGATCTAAAAGTTAAATTACCTTTTTTCATAAGAGAGATACACTGAATTCTCCTGACTGAAGGTGTCGATGTCCTTCTGTAGTTTGCTGGACTCCATCGTCAGCTCATTTATTTTACTCCTGAAGCAAACAAAGAAATATTTATCAGTCTGTTTTATCTGAGATGTGGTAAAAAAGAATCTTCGCATCTTCATCACTTTTTACCGTAATAACCCAAGGTAATATGACTTATCCAGAATTTGCCTCTGTGGTCCTTAAGGAGTGAAAATAGAGCGATCAGTGTGCAGATATCACATCACTTTAATGTTCATTAGAAAAAGGAAAGTTAGTTCACCCTTTATGCCCGTCTTCATTCCACTGAGACCCTGCTGAGTCACCGGCCGATCAGCCACTTTAATCTGAGCCGATAAAACACCAGGAGAAGCCACGGGTCCAGCTCTGCTGCCTGGACGAGCGGAGCCTGGGACCATCTGTGAACCACACACACATATATACACACACACACACACAGACACACACAGACACACACACACACACTCACACACACACACACACACACACACTCACACTCACACTCACACTCACACTCACACTCACACTCACACTCACACTCACACTCACACTCACACTCACACTCACACTCACACTCACACTCACACTCACACTCACACTCACACTCACACTCACACTCACACTCACACTCACACTCACACTCACACTCACACTCACACTCACACTCACACTCACACTCACACTCACACTCACACTCACACTCACACACAGACACACACACACACACACACACACTCACACACTCACACTCACACACACACACAGACACACACACAGACACACACACACTGATAATTCTGCATGATTTCAGACAGCAGACAGAGAGTGTGACTGTAATAATGATTGTTCACCGCGGTGCTGACTCTGACGGCTGTCTGCGGGGGTCGGAGGGCTGTAGGCGGTCGTCCAGAACCCGGTCCAAACGATCCACGGCTCACGGGTCTCTGGCTTGCCATTGTGGTCTGAAATGTAAAGTTGAAAAGAAAAAAAACACCGAACATTAGAATATATCAGATTAGACCAGAGTATAATACAGCACATTAGAACAGACTGCAGATGAGTTTTTGTGAAAAGACGGCTCTCAACATCGTACAGTCGCTGTTAGGAAGAGCTCTGATGTGCAGAAGATGCTGGAAGAATGAATTATCATCATTCTGGATCCAGGAAAATTCACTTTTACACCATTTTAGGGCAGTACACTGCACTTCCCACTTGGGAAACATTACTGATCTATTTTTATGTCCACATTTTTACATACACATGTACTGTGTATTAATGAAATATTATGAAATCAAAATGAAGTTTCGAAATACTAGATATTCTGGTTCTTAAATATTAATAAGCAGTTTAGAGACAGCAGCTACACAACAAGCTACATGACAAAGTAGCTTTCTACATTTATACCACTTTCTTTAAAATACAAAACAGCTGTAATAAGATCAAATGCATGATTATTAAACTAAAAAGCAGTACCATGACCTAATGACAGGTCGTCATTGTAAAAGAGAACTGGTTCTCAACTGACCTACCTGCATAAACAAAGGTTATAATATTAGCATCAGAGAGCAATACCACGTTACTCCATCAGTACCATAATAAACTACCATGATATCAACATGGTCTTGCAAAACAGCCTGATGTTTCGATATTGAGAACGCATTTAGAGTGACGAGAACAACGGAGCAATTAAAAACAGCAGATGAATTGTTTAATTAATGCGGAAGTCGAATATTATATCAATGTTTGGGATTCACAGCTTAAATAAACACTGAATTACTGAAACCGGCTCTTTAACTTACAGAGAAAGCGCAGAAACAAAACACGACGTAACGTTATAAAATACAGCGTCGTGCAAACAAATGTTTAAAGTCCCGGCCTTTCAACTACAAACCAAAGTATATCACTTTAAAGGTAAAGCACTGAAGAAAACAACACGCAGATTATTATCTTTTACAGGCTAACAAATTAGCAACAGACCTGTTTTCTTTGTTCTTGTTCTCAAGCAGAAAATCTGCTCAGCTAACGGTCTGACCACACAACGCCTGTAAGTTATTTAATAAGTGAGCGCTTACCTTTACCTGTAAATCTGCAGTTTGTTTGTACTCGTGTAGCTTAGCTCTTTCACAGCCAAACCAAACGCTCGCCTCTGAGCTGCCTAGCAACCCACCAACGTCATCGCGAGATTTCGTGCGAGAACAGCGCAGCGCTGCCCCCTGCTGTCTGAATGTGACGCGGCAGCGCGTCTACTGAAACATTTTCTTTTATACATATAATAAAAACTATATAAAAACGTTCTAACTACATTTGTACAACAGCACTGTTAAATGCCCAGTTATAATGGCGTATCAGCTGCTGTAAAGCGGAATTTGGATTTGCCTCATTCTTAAAGTTTGCTGCGTTGAAACAATCTGTTATTGTATAAAGTGCTATTAAAATAAAGGTAACATGACAGGAGCCACAAGATACCATTATTAATTTTATTCGTTTACTTTATTTTTTTATTCCATTATTTTTTTCCCCTCAAGATCTCTCTTTTAAAAAATGGTTTAACCTAACAGAGCACTGATACAAGATCAATGACCATCGTCTGAATAACCTCAAGCATGTAACCTTTTTTCAGGGGATAAATCAATATTTAGTGCAAAAATAAGGCAAACTAACATTGCTACAGTTTGAGGGAAGTTCTTGATGTTGAGCAAGAAACTGTGCTGCTCCAGTAATATCATCGTCTCCTTTAGTAATACTGAGTCCTGTCAGTCACCTGTACTGAACTGAGGAGTGAGAAAATAAATAATAGATAAGAAAACATTCACTGTGTGACTGAAAAACTCAATAAAATATAATACAGTACAATAAATCATTAAAATTCAATTCAGTTCAAGTTTATTTGTATAGCGCTTTTCACGATACAAATCGTTGCGAAGCAACTTTACAGCAAATTAAGTTTCTACAATATTTAGTGGTAGCTGATCTAGTAACATCTTACAGTGAGTGAACAATATATTTTTAAAACATTCATTAATGTTTGTGAATGTTATTTAATACAAACACTTGATCATTCATGTTTGTTCATTGTGCATTAAATAATTGTAACAGACTGAACTTTGAAATTAACAGCATGTTTTTGTGTTTTGCTTTGGTACCGAAATTGGTACCGAGAACCGTGGATTTTCACTGGTATCGGTCCCGAATACTGAAATTTTGGTACCGTGACAACACTAGCGCCAACCCTAATTAAACGCACCTGAACCAGCTAATCAAGCTCTTACTAGGCATAGAAACTTCCAGTCAG